ACGCCGCGAACGGACTTGGAAGAATTTCTCGCTCGCCCGGCGAAAGCAACACGCCGCGAGCGAACTTGGAAGAATTTGTCGCTCGCCCGGCGAAAGCAACACGCCGCGAGTGAACTTGGAAAAAGCGGCTTGTGCGGCCGGAGGTGTCGCCCGCCAACAAAAGCAACACGCCGCGATCGGACTTGGGTTACGGGCGGCGCGTGCCGCCGGAGGTGTCGCCCGCCAACGAATGCAACACGCCGCGATCGGACTTGGGTTACGAGCGGCGCGTGCCGCCGGAGGTGTCGCCCGCCAACGAAGCAACACGCCGCGATCGTACTTGGGTTACGGGCGGCGCGTGCCGCCGGAGGTATCGCCCGCTAATCAAGGCAACACGCCGCTATCGGGCCTGGAAAAATTTCTCGCTCGCCGGCGAGAGCAACGCGCCGCGAGCGAACTTGCGCCTGTTCCCGAGTTCTCGCTTGTACCGCTAACGAGCGAGCTAAATGAGATTAATTAAATGAGGACGCATCGGAAAGTTTATTCGTGCAAACACTCCGGCTTCGCTTACCGGCATCCTGCCTGCATTCGTCCACGTATCGGTCGTAGAATCTCGAAGATTGTGCATCCGACGAGCGGTAGCCGGGAATTAGCAGATATCGTAATAATCGTGTCGCGCGGTCGTGCGGAGCGTCGAAAAGTACGAAACCTATGTCCGAAACGTATTTCCGTATCGTAGCATTATCTCCTCGTAGCGGCGCTACTCGCCGTCAAGTGCCCCGGAGGTACCGCCGGCGGGCGACGGACTTGGTGAAATTATTCGGTCGTCCGGAGGTGTCGCCCGTCCCGGAGGTGCCGTCCGTGCCCTAAGTTGACGCCGGCCGTTATGTGGTGCCGCACGTATAATCACGCCCGTAACGAGCCGTCTCGGTTGCCGCGCGCGCGATTTCGCATCGGGCGAGTGTTCCGTACCGTAATCGCGGTCACCGCAGCTTGCGTGTTGCGTATCATCCGTAATAATTCGAAATATATGTCTCCGACACGTGGGTTTGAGAGACACGTTTCGAGTTAGTAATCGGACAGCGCCCTTATGTCGAGCGAGCGCCGAATAGTAAGTAACTTTCGTCCGAAACGTTTTTACGTAGCTCTCCTCGTTGCGGCGCCGTAAATTGTCGTTAAGTGTTCCGGAGGTACCGCCGGCGGTCGTCTGACTACGAGAGTTCATTCGGTCGTCCGGAGGTGCCGCCCGTCCCGGAGGTGTCGCCGGTCGGCCGTGGTTGCCGGAGGTGTCGCCCGGTCCGGAGGTGCCGCCGGTCGGCCGATGTTCCCGGAGGTGTCGCCCGGCCCGGAGGTGTCGCCGGTCGGCCGTGGTTCCCGGAGGTGTCGCCCGTCCCGGAGGTGCCGTCCGGTCCGGAGGTGCCGCCCGGCCCGGAGGTGCCGCCCGGCCCGGAGGTGCCGTCCGGTCCGGAGGTGCCGCCCGGCCCGGAGGTGCCGCTGGTCGGCCCTGTTTCCCGGAGGTGTCGCCCGGCCCGGAGGTGCCGCCCGACCCGGAGGTGCCGCCCGGCCCGGAGGTGCCGCCCGGCCCGGAGGTACCGTCGGTGCTTATACCTTATTGTCCCGGCATTTCGTTTGTTTCCTTCTTAATTAATGCTAATTATCGTTGTTTGACATTCGCCATACGGCTATCGTGATAATATTTTATCGTACAATAGGACTTTTCGATCGTTCGCTCTCCGCGACAATGTCTCGATTGAACGCGCCTTTCGGCGCTCGCGCTCGTATACGGCCGTGCGTAGGACCGTGCGTCGCCGACCGCCTGGCCGGCCGGTTGGGTACTATAAGAGATACGTCGCGCTCGGCGCGTCGAACGAGTCGAGCGAGTCCGGACGAGTCGTAAACGTACTTTCTCGAGTCTCTCGCCACTCAGGCGTGTTTCGACCGCTCTCCGTACCGTCGCCGACCGCTTGGCCGGTCGGTTGGGTACTATAAGAGGTAGGAGAGATTAATATTGTACGTGTCGCGCTCTCGACGTTGACAAACGAAGAATCGCCCGAACGGGTCGAGAACGGATTTTGTCGAGTCGCGACTCTGACACGGAGAGAGAACATTTATATAAAATGTTTGATTTTGGAAACCACGAATATATAAAATAATATACGATCGTCGCAGAACGCGCCGCCGCCAAGTCTTCTCATGCTTGGAGGTTGCGTGTCTCGCGAGAACGTACGTTCGACTCTCGCGTCGTCTCGTATTCCTCTTCGCCGGGGATTACGGTGCGGCTCTTCTCGTTCGTCGCCGAACGCGCGCAAAATTAACGCACACTTATTTATTACGAGCACAGCATTGCCACGAGTCGGTGTCGCAAGACCGAATGGCTCTTATGTGGCGCGCACGCCTCTAGTGTGTTGGCCGCGCGGTTCCCTCTCGTTTCGTACGCAGCAGCGGAATCGTCGCGCTTACCGAGCATCTACTCCACGGATACGAGTTTGCGGGAAGAGTTGCTTCTTCCCGCTCGCTTTGT